GCCCCCCCCCCCCCCACACACACACACTGTTGCAGCCTTTTTATGAGGAGAGAAGAGCCAGGAATGGAGGAAAGTGGAGAGGACAGAGAGGGGAAATTGGTGGCAGGCCAACACGTCCTTTATGCAACTGACAGGGACCACACAGAGCGTGTTCTATATAGATCCTTAAGAGTGCAGATTAAACTCCCCTGTTGGGTAATCCTCCTAAGTTCACAGTCTGTCTGAGGAAACCATGTCAGACAATAGGTAGAAATCTGGGAGGCACGAAGCAGTCGGGCTGGAAGGCAAGTGGGCATACACACCCAAAGCTTCCTGGAAGAGGGCTCCCAGGCAAGTGGTGGCATGAAACCTGGCAGGAAAACGGGGGTGGGGTGGGGTGGACGGCGGCTCCGCCGAAACACGCTGAGAACAAGGACTATGGTGACACTCCGCCTCCCAGGCCTGGAACCACCAGCGCCTGGCACATAGTAAGCATGCAACAAATTGCTTGTAGATTTGAGACAGTTTGATTCTCAGGAGCCATAGGAGACAGGAATACGTGGATAAGTAAAAGTGGCAAAAAGTGGAAAGCGATTTTGGAAGCTACATCAAGGGAAGAAGAGCCTCAAGGGAAGAAGAGTAAGGGCCTAGATTTGGCAGCACTAGGTGGGGTTGGGGCTGGGGGGTATGCTGTGGGGTGTGTGTTTATGAGACAGAGAAAGAGGTAGAGTGGTGAGCTAGCAACTGCATTGCTTTAGGCAAGGCAAGAATTGCAGGGGAAGAGAGTGGGAAGTATGAGGAGTTGGCCCCTGCATAGTAAGCTTCAAGCTGACAGAAAAGAAACTGGACAGTAGGCAGAGGAACAGGTAGTGAGTAGGCTCATGAGAGAATGGAACTGGTTAGAAGCATGAAGAGAGAAACTATGGAAGGAGAAGGATGGAGGTTGGGAAGAACAAATACCCTCGGGAAGGTGTGGCATTGCTCAAGCAAAACAACAGAAACCTAATCAAACACACACACTGAAAGAGAAGTGGGAACAAAGAGAGGAGGAAGAGTCCCCACCTAGGGGGAAAATGGAGGTGGTGACAGGAAAGAGGGGGAGAGCCTGAGTTGAAAGAAACCTGCAGCTTTAGGGTCCACCCTAACTTTTTGATCTTGGGTGCCACTGTGGGCAGATTTTGCAACTGTCAGTTCAGTCTGTTTTTGTGGGTGTGCCTGGGAGAGGAATTGGAGGAGGTAGCAGGGCCAAGGCCTGCAAGACAGGATGCCTTCCCACAGCCTCAATTGTACAGAATCTTCAAAGCAGCGAGGCCTGATTGGTTACATACAACCTCTACCTAGTAAACAGAGTCTGGGTTCAAATCTTCCTTGTGTTACATCTTACTAGATAAGCCTAGTTCCCTTGTTCAGTGGAGGCTCTCTGATGCGCCTGCTGCCCTTGCCCACAGGGTATTCCAAATCATGGTTAGAAATCCTTTCCATAGCCCCTTACTGGTATCTAATCCAACTGTGAGGTTGGAAAATCTGGGTCCTTAAGGTCTTGGCACAGCAGGCCTTACTCTCTACCTTTATGCTAATGCCCATTCCACCTGCCTTCAGGGCAACTTATTAGAAGGCCTGAGAAAAGGATCAGCTAACTAGCAAAGGAGGGCCATTTCCTTGGATGTCAGTTTTTCAGTTTTATATTGTGTTTTCCTTCTCTGAGGTATCTGTTCCTTTCTGTCCTTTTAGATTTCTGGACCCAAGTATCCCCGGTGCCCATGTTGGAAGCCCCAGTCCCAATCACATGAGCTTGATTGTTACCCCACCACTGTTTCTGAAGTTGGTGACTGTAGTGGATTGAATTATGTCCCCCCCAAAACTCATTGAAGCTTGAATGGTGTCCCCCAAGTTTTATGTATTAGAAAGTTGGCCCCCACTGTGACAAGTAGGAGGGCAAAAAATCCTGTTATGGTGATTGAAAGGTGGAGCCTTGAAGAGGTGATTGGATTGTAGGGCCGTGCAGTAGTGAATGGATTAAAAATGGCAGTCAGGGGCATGGTTCTGAGGGCTTTAAAAGAAGAGGAGAGTCTGTCTCTTTCTCTCTCTGATTCCATCTTGCAATGTGAGACCCCTGGATTACTGTCGCCACCACCAGATGGACTTTGGGCTTCTCAGCCTCAGAAACTGTAAGCAGTAAATTTCATTTTCTTTATAAATCACCCAATTTCAGGTATTTTGTTATAAGCAACAGGAACGGACTAATGCAGTGACTAAGCCCAGTTCTTTCACTGAATTAAGGATGAAGACCTTGGAACTAAGGTGAACAGAACTGAGGACCAGCACAGTGAGGGTGCTGAGTAAACTGGACAATAGGAGTGTGAAGATCCTCTTGAAGAGGGTGAAGTATCACTGCTTGAAAAGGAAATTGAATCCCCTAGCCAGTGGTTCTCAAACTTTAGCTCCTATCTGATATCCTGGAGAGCATGCTAATAGACTGTTGGGCTTCAGCCCCAGAATTTCTGATTTGGTAGGTCTAGCGTAGGGCCTGAGATTTTGCATTTCTAACAAGCTCCCTCTCAGGTGATATTGATGCTGCTGGTCCAAAGACCACATTTTGAGAACCATGGTCTGGTATAGCGCACAAGGGAACAGAAGGAAATTTTGCCAGCTCAGGCTAAGGGATCTAAGGGAATATATTTCACTTTTCTCTTACTGCCCAACCCTACCCAACCCCATTCAGTGCACCCATCTGAAGAGATGGAAAGAACCTGCCTTCTGGCCCCTCTGGGTTTAAGTCAGGGCTTACCTTGCCCTTGATGGAAATAGAAAACAGTGGTTTGATTTCAGGAGTGTTGGCAAGAAAGGGATTTTGTCCCAGATAATCACCCCTTTAGCTCCCTGAAGGCATAACATTGTTTTAACAAGTCTTTTCCTTCCACAATTAGAACTGAGGCTTAAAATGTAGATAGCCTTGGAAAAAGCTAACATTTTGAGTTACATTCTCCTGACCAAGGGATTCTTTGCAGAGATACTATGTTGGGGTGGAAAGGGAGGATACTGGAATAAGGTAGAAGCACCAAAGATGGAAAAAGCTGAGTTTCCTGAAGACGGACTTCCCTGTTTTACATTTTGACCAGAGAGAACACAGAGACACTTTTTATTTAAAGGAGATAGTGTGGACGTGTGGCAGAAGGGAGTTGGGTGGAAGATGAAAGTTTGAGGCTGATAACCTGTGGAAAAAATCATTCAAATCTATTCACTCATCTGATGGCTGTTGCTTATTTTATTTTTCGTCCAAGGGAGGTGGTATTGGACCGAGGTAGAGAAGACAGTGGTACACCAGAAATGACCCAAACGATTGCCCCTTCTGCAGAAGGCTTCCATGTTGCCTTTTAGCTGGGTGCTATAACTGCACCAGCACTTTAGGGGCTTCATTTTCTATCCCTACAATTACTAAAACAGATAAAAGACTAGAGGTTAACTTGTAGTTGTTAAGAGGTGTGATGTGATAGTAAGGAATATCAGTTTCCACAAGTCCTTAAAACAAGGTTTGTGTGGAGCTGGATTTGTCAGCATGTCAGATCTTTTCCAAAAACGTAGGGTAGAAATATAAGCAACACCCTTCTAGTCGTTAAGACCAGACTCTATCCTCATACTCTCATGCCTCTGGTATCTCAGTCCTTAAAATATTTAGTGATCCTTGCCTTGTAATTCTTGACAAAAATATATAATGACCATATTGGGTCAGGGTAAATCTCTTTGACCCTAGTTTAGCAATTCCATGGATGGACTCTGAACCTGCTAAATGAAAAACTGAGTGAATTGCAAACACCTGTTTTTCTCAAAAGTGAGTTTCTGGTTTCTATCAGATTCTCAAACAAGTCTGTGATCCAAAACAGGTTCTGAACATTGCTTACATAGAGCTGAAGTGTATTAAACTAAGAGGGTAAAAGAAATGGCATAATTCAGTTTTACCACTGGAACCCAATACTTTTCTATTCCCTGGGGCATTTGCTAATACTGATCCTAAAATGCTCCTGTCTCTGAGGACCTAGGTCAAGGCCTTCCCTACACAGGGCTGGCCATTTTGCTATATTCATAGGAACATAAGCAAGAGAAGTGCATTCCAGGCAAAGAAGGAAGGCTGCTTTGAGTAGAAGAGAGGGTTGCTCAAGTCACACATACTCTGAGAAGCCCAGTCAATAAAATGACCCTATTTTCATTCCATTTGGGTCCAGGACCCTGAGAAGCTGATTCTCCTATGCTAATGGGACAGTCACTAAACGAGATTGTTGCAGCTCACTTCCTCTTGCCTCTCTGGCTAATCCCACCAATTGTAATTGAGAAATGTCCCAGGGAAAAACCAGACTCTAAGCATTGAAGAGAAAATACCCCACTTCCATTCTCTTTGCTCCTCTTCCTCCCTAACCCCAAACTGCTCTTACATAAAAGATAGTTTTTAAATTATAAGATTGGTATTAACATAATCATCAATAAAAAACAATGGCCAACTCATCAACTAACAGATGCTAGAATACTTATGCAAGTCATAGAGTTAAGAGTCTTAGTGTGGAAACTGCTCTTACATAAAAGATAGTTTTTAAATTATAAGATTGGTATTAACATAATCATCAATAGAAAACAATGGCCAACTCATCAACTAACAGATGCTAGAATACTTATGCAAGTCATAGAGTTAAGAGTCTTAGTGTGGACACCTTCCCAGAAATGGGAGGAAAACCAACCAGAAAGCTTATTACCCTGCATCAGCTGAAATGCTAAGCCACAACCATTTCCCCTAAGTTCTGTTTCTGGAAGAATGAGATGCTCAGGAATAACTCTTCCCCTTTGATGATGCAATCAAAGTCAAACAAGAGTTAAAACAACTTTCAAACACTGTGATTCCTGTCCTAATTTCCCAGCACTTAAAACTAGACAAAAAAATCCCACTTGGCACAAAGCTTCTATATGTACCTCACCCGAAGTCGATAAAAAACAGCTCACCTCACTGAAGACTTCTCTTTCTCTCTGCTCCCAGGTAAAAACAATCTGTGACCCAGAGATTCAGACTTTGACATATATATCCACAACTGTCATAATCTCAGTGATACCAGGGAAAGCCTTGTACTCAACTCCCACAACTTAACCCATCATTTAACCTTTTCCTCTAGGGCTCCCATAATCACTCAGATTACTTTCTATCTTGAAACAAAAAAACTCATACAATCCCCTCTACCCTCATCCCTAGAACACAGCCCCTAGAAAACCTAGCTTGTACAGTTTGCATTTAGCATGCTCTCTTCAAAGACCCTGCACACATATACACATAGACACATAAAGACAGTCAAGAGGAGAGGGCGTCTGTTCAAGGGGATAAAGTTTTTTCTTCTGTGTGGGCCTGGGTTACTTGGGGTTATAAGGTCAATCTCAACATTGTAGCATGATCTCTCAGCTGGATATGTTTATGTGCAGGATGAAGGGAATAGGAATAAGGGGATGAAAAGGTTACTCTATATTTTTCATCAGGTGGGGGTGAGAGGTGTAGATGTTTATACTGGTGATCAGGGTAAGGGTGACAGACCCACACAGGAACAAGGTCTGGCCCCCTAGCTTTCATATGGATAAAAAAGGGGGCTCTGAGTGCCTGATCACTATCTCTTTCCTGTTTCCTCATTAGTCTCTAAACTAGTGTTCACCAGAGTGTATTTCATGGAGTCACCAGTTCTGTGGGATGTGAAATAGAAAGGATACTGAGGTCAAATAAATTTAGGAAACACTGCATCAACAGAAGCTTAACAGTTTGCTCTACTGCAGAAGTTTTCACAGCCTTTAATATGCTAAAATGGCCTTTCTCTCTCTCAACATATATATAGAAAGAATATATTTGTAGTATACAAAGGTGATACTCAAAATATTTAACAACTGGTATGGCATAGATTCCAGCCACTCAGAATGGACCTCAGCCATAAACTGCTGGTACCATTGTACCCTTGAGAATGGGCTCAGGCTGAATATCAGCCCATGTAGTATGAATGCATTGTTTCCCAAAAGTTTTGCCCAAAGAACTCTGTTTTCAAGTGGTATCTCACAGAACTGGTGAGAAATGCTCTGGCCAATGCTGGAACCCCATCTTTCTAGGGATGGGGCCAGGGCTCATGATTCTGGCCACTGGGGTGCAGAAGAGGGGCAGCCCTAGCAGTGGACTCCTGGTAGCACCGGCTGATAGACTTGACCATAGCTGCAGCAGACACAGATTTCAAAAAACAGATGTCCCTCTGTCCCAGCTGCTCCGGGAACTTTGTCCCTGGTGGGTCAGTAGGTGCCTGTCCAGGTGATGTTTGCGGCCAAAGCTCTTCTCACAGCGAGGGCACTGGAAGGGTTTCTCCCCAGTATGGGTCAGCCAGTGTCTCACCAGATGGTGCCTTCGACCAAAGCTCTTCCCACATTCAGTGCACACATGGCACTTTGGCACTGGTGGGGCACGCTGCCGTTTCCTAGCCCCAGGGCTCTCTCCAACCTCTTGGCCCTTGCAGGATTTGCCTTCTGCATGCACTCTCTGGTGGCTGGCCAGATGGGAGTTGCATCGGAAATTCTTGCCGCACTCAGAGCATCTGCTGGGCTTGTCATGTAGGTGGGTTTTCTGATGCCTGATTAGGTGATGTCTTCGCCCAAAGCTCTTCTCACACTTGAGGCAGCTGTAGGGCCTCTCCCCAGTGTGTGTTTGCTGATGCCTGGCAAGGTGGGAGCCCCACACAAACTGTTTCCCACACTGGGGGCATGTGTGGGGTCTTAACAGGGAATCCATCTCTGTGCTACATAGAAGGTTTGAGAAGCTATCTTCCTGAAGAAAATGTGGGCCCAGAAGCATTCCTCTGGAGCCCCTGGACATGGAATCCCAGCTCTCATCTTGCTGTGGGTTCCAGACAGCAGTATCTTCAGACACACTGGACAATATTCTGGGAGGTTCTGCTTCTAGTTCAGGGGTATCCCCTTCGTGTTCGCTTCCATCTCCTGTGTAGAAGAGAAAATACCAATCCCAATAGGGAAGTCACAACAGAGTACCCGAGGACCCAAGTCATAGGTGAGGTAGTATGATGTATGTCAGGGCCCAAACCTCACCCCAGAAGGTCTAAGAGAACATATTCTAATGTTGTACAAAATAGTGCAATAGCATAGAGGTTAAAAGCCTAGGCTTAGGAGGCAGACTACCTAAGTTTGAATCTCAGCTTTTCTATTTAACATCTCTAAGACTTCTTCTTCTATAAAATGGAAATAATAACACTTCTCTCTCAAGGTTGTTATAAGATAGATAGCACAGTACCTGTGCATAGTAAGCACTTCGTAAATGGTATATGCTATTGTTATTATTTACTTCTTACCATTATTTACTTACTATTTATTACTATTAATCACCATCTTCCTGCCTAAGCATAGATGGAGAGAGTTACGGAATGTGCTTCAATCACCACTGGGTGAGTGACACCTGTCAACAATACTAGAGACACTGTGGAAGGCATTCTTGAAATGAGTGGGAGGTTGAGCAACAAAAACTGCTAACGTTTACTGAGTGCTTATTATGTGCTTGGCATTGTTCTATTGTTCTAATATGTTAACATTTTTAGTTCTCACTATAATTTATAGATGAGGATACCAAAGAGAGGTAATTATTTTTCCAGGGTCCCACAGATATGGTCCAGAATTCAAATCCACAAGGTTTAGAGCCAAAGCCTACCCTCTAAACCATTCTGCAACACTGCATTGTTCTCGAAGAAAAAGATCTCTAACTAAACCTTTCAACTCTGTAACTCTCTGAGGAAGAGGAGGGATTAGAGGGACATATAATGATGATGCCCCAAGAGAGGGAAAGGCAATAGCTGAGTGTCTATTCTGTGTTCTGACCTGTATATGTGACCCTCAGAATGTCCCTCTCCTCTAAGTCCTGGGGGTCAGGGACCCATTGTTCTTCTCCTCCTTCCAGTTGAGAAAGCATGTCCAGTTTGGGAATTGGAAACCCTGTCCATGGGAAAGGAAAATAGAGATGTCAATTAGTTCAACAGTAATTCTATATTTCTGAAAAAAGCTGTTTCCTAGATTATTCCTTGGAACTCTATAAAAGATGGTCAGATACAAGATCTCTCCCCTGCTCCCCCAACTCCCAATTTCTGCTACACCCCTCTTCTTTGTCCTAAAAAATCACATTCTCCTTCCCAATTAGTCTATTCTCTTCACCGAAATACTTCCAGCTCACCTGTCCTTTCTAATCATAATTTTACTTTAGTCCTACTACAACTGTCCTACCCCTAGATGGTTCCTGAGTTACCAAGGACCCAATTCCAGATGTCCCTCTGTTTTGTAAGAATCTCCCAATTCCCAACCAAGAAGAGCCTCAAGTTCTTTATACTCTACAATTCAGTATTGTTTACTCTTGTTTTTTAAAAATGATGCCTCACTTCTTTCTCTTGGGATTAGCCCTAGTGTTCTCTCTTTGATGGAAGCCTAGACAGATTCCCTGCTAAGGAAAGAATCCTAGACAGACACTATCCAACATCCCTGAAACAGATGGCTCCATTCTCCCAGAGTACAATCGTTTAGTGGCTGGGGAAAGTCATGCTTACTCAGAGAGACCACTATTCCACAGTTTTCCTGCATAACATATTCTCCATAAAAATCTGTCTGAGAAGGGTCCAGGCTCCGCCACTCCTCCTGAGAGAAGCACAATGACACATCCTTGATGGTTACCAGGCCCTGAAACAAAATGTAGCATCTTCTGTCATCAGCTGTTCCTTAAGGAAAATGTGATCTCAGTATAAAAGGCTGAGGCAGTAGAGGAGAGAGGGCAAGAGAGGATCTAGGGAAAGAACTGCCCAGAGGTCCCCGGGTAGGGCACATAGTTTTGGTAAAGGGGAAATGAGAGGAGAAAGGTAGATGGTCAAGGAGTGGGTGAGGGTAATATCGCTAGAGGAGTTTCCCAAGTGGGACCATGAGAAGTCAGAGGCACCACAAACTCATCACTCCCTCTGTTTAACTACCGTTGCCTACATAGTCTCTTCTCCTGTCTTACTTTTCTTATTGCACAAATTCTGTACCATCTCCCCCTTATCCCTTTGACCTTTCCATTTTTATCAGCACAAAATGATATAGATAAAACATTTTTTCTTGCCTCCCATCATGCCATATCCTTATCTTTTGAGGCAGCACAGTATGGTGGTTAGGAGCCCAGAATCTGGAGCCAAATGATTCTTAGCTTTGCCACTTACTGGCAATATGATCTTATAACTCAGACTTAAATGAGTTAATATACATAAAGCACTCAGAAAACAGCATACATGGTAAGCTCTCTGGGAGTACAGCTACTACTACTATTATTATCCTTCCATGACTCTCCTACTGCCTTCTGAATCTAAACCTATTTTCTCTCTCTGGCTCTAACCCTCTTTACAACTTTCTTCTTTTCTTTTTCATAAATGTACCATCATCTACCAAATCCTGTCCACTTTATGTTCTACCAAGCTTTCTTCAGGTCCTCTTTTCCTAATCTTTCCAGATTTATTTCTTAAAGGATATTAATTAATTCTTCTTAAAAATCTCCCTGTGGATTTTAAGAATCACAGCCATAATTAAAAAACCCTAACCTCAATTAATTCCTTCTTGTTATGCCTCCATTTAATTTTCCAAGGATCTTATAAGTCCTTATGATGTTGAAGTTATAGAAAGGCAGCAGTGATGAGACCTCGGTAGAGGCCAAGAAAAGCACAGCCCACCTGTGATCCGGCTGCAAGAAGTGCAGCTGCCATCTCCCAGTCTCCAGTGCTCCCCTCCTGGGGAATTGGCGGAACCCAGGGAGCAGTCTGAGCTGGTGAGGGTAGAGAGAAAACCATTAGAGATGAATTATCCACCCTTTTCCAGTAAGAGCTTGGGTCCCATTTTAGAGGCGTTTAAGGGTCACATCTTCTATATCTATACCCACTGGTAAAAGTCAAATGCATAAAGTGGTTTTTAGTTAGATTAGCTGTGGTTTGAATTTATATTATATGAATGTAATTTCCGTCTAGTAAAGTGCATCTTACTGGGTGTGTTCTTAACGGTAATCAGTGTTGCCACCACTTCTTTCATCTCCCACATTCAATACCACAAACTATGCACTTGCACATGGGAGGAGTGATTATGCAAAAAAAAGGAGAATTCAGGAGCCCATTCTGTACCTGTGGCCAGGGCCCAGGAAAAATAGACTGGCACTGGTATTGGTTATGCTGTTCAATCCACAGCAATTTGGGGATTTAAACTCTACTTTTTGAGCAGAGATTAGGCAACCACTCTGTGATTGTGCTTCCCACACACCCTTTGTGCTCTTACCCTTTTCCTGTAGGGATTGTGACTCCTCCTCAAGATCACAGCACAGGTGTTCCAGTGGCCCTGGAGCTGTTCTCCATGGCCCCTCTTCCTGGCTTCCCCTTTCCACTTGGGACTCTGCTCCATCCAGCTGTACATTCATTGACTCCCATCCTGTCCCCAGGGCTGCTGTCTGTTCTGAAAGCATTTTTGCTGCAAACCCAAATTGTGACCTGGAACAAATTCATATCTGCTATGCTCACGAAATAGAAAGGGGTGATATTCCTAAGGGAGTTATGGAGAACAGCCCCAGGGATAAAACACGGAACTCGATAGGAGGAGCTTGATGGAAGATGAACTTTAATAGCTTGACGTGTTCCAATTAACTGAGCCTGAGCTAAGCTTCTCGGAGGGACTAAGAAATTGGCAGGTGCTACATGGCAAAGTCACTAACTGTTATTTTAGGGACCTCATGGTAGAAACAGAATATCCCTGAAATCTGGAAGAACTTCACTAAAGAAAAAAAAGATTCCAAGTCACTGCAACAATTAAAAAGAAAAAAAAAAAGAATAATCCTGGAAATTCAAAAGCTATCTATTTAACTTCAACTACTGAAAGTACATGAAAGTAAGCAATATGTAGAAACATGCAGGAAGGAATGCATATAGACCTACACTCAACAAAGATGAAAGTAATCATACAAGTTTTTCACATTCTCATCAATTAATTTAGAATGAAATGATTAATATGGGTAGAAGTCCCAGCCAAGTGTCATGAGCACACACCTCTTTTATGAGGCTAAACCAAATGTGCCTCACTTAGGACAAGCCTCAATAAAGAGACACATGATCTGTCACTCTCATGTAGAAAATGAGAACTGGTAGTAAATATGGTAGAAAGACCAATAACTTGGAAAGCAGGTATAAGACTCCAAAGCAACCCAACAGATAAAAGAAATTTGGGGGCAGTAAGGAACTTATGTTTAATGGGGAAAAGTAAAAAAGAAAGGGTTTGGACTAGGGTGGAAAACGGGGAAGCAGTGCTGCCAACATGACCCTGGAGTGAATTAACATCCCGTGATTTGAGATAACAGGAAAGAACCTGTTTGCTTGGCAGACACCAGTCACATCTCATTAGAGAAATATATTCAATTTTAAAGAAGGGTGTGGAGAAGCCAGTGTGTGTTATTTGGAAGAAATGAAAGTCAAGAAAGGGATGGGAAATAAAACCACTGAGAAAGTTAAAAACGGTAAACACAGTTTTCTCTTTTCTAGAGAAGGCTGATGAATGATACTACCAATGAATAGAGAGGTATCTTCTATTTCTGTCTATAGCAAACAGAAAAAATGGGTTTTGATTGCAAAAGAAGAGATTAGATTAGATAAAAAAAAAAAAACATTCTTAACAATAAGACTGCAGTGCACAAGACCAGGTTGTGGGCTCTTCTTTTCTTTGGAAATCTCAAGAGCAGGACAGGTCCCACTTGTGTTGTGATATGGGCCTCCCTGCCTTATGACAGAGAAATAGTCTATTATGAGACTGTACAGAATCCCGTTCTACTTGGCAACATATTTTTTGTTGATTCTTATTCAATACCCAAGCAGTCAGAGCCAGTAAAAGTCTTCCAAGAACAGGTCAGAACCTTGCTAACTATCCTGGCTCACTCAAATCCATTAAATAACATTTCCAAGAACCCGGAAGACCAGATTAGGTAACGGTAGATGTCAAGCTGTTTATTTTCTTGCCTATCTGTCTTTGTCAAAAGAGGTAGGTGGGAACCCTAAGCCCAAATGAACAGGAAGAACAAATTCCTCTTTTATCCCGGAAGTCCAAAGATGGCTCAGGGCCTCATGGGAGCATCCTGGACTGATTCCCAGCTTAGAAGGTTTCCTTTTTGGAGACTTCTTATGAGAAAGGAAAGTTCCCTATAAAGCAATAAAGGGAATCCTCCATTTTAGCTGTCTTCTCTGAATTTCAGCCCCTGTATATTCTCTTCACTTTTAACACAGAGGGCACCAATTCCCCCTCTTCACCCTAAGTCTTCCTTATTCTCTATCTTCTTTGACAAATCATCCCTCAGACCTTTACCTCTAGCTAAATACGTGGACACCTGTCTCAAACCCATTTCTCCATCCCCCTCACTAGCAGAGGCCCTTGGTGGGAAGCCTCTTTCTGCAGAGCCCACTGGGCCAGCTGTGAGCCTCTTCAGACCACTGGTAGAAAACCTGTAGAAGTGCTGGCAAAAATCTCAGCAAACGAGGGGGTGGGTATCTGTCCTCAGCCTGCATTTCCTAAAATGTTCAGGCAGAGCCAGCACCCGGGCAATTAAGGTGGCAACCCTAACCTAGTTTCTCCTCCTTCCTGGACGATCCCATGCCTACTGGAGTCTGGATTCAGGGCTTTCGTTTCCCTTTTCCTCACATATCTGGGTGGCAAGGCACCTGCAGTAGGAAGTTTTTGTAATGAGTGCTGTTGGACAGAGGAAAGGCCATGTTACAGAAACGAGTACCCAAGGGCACAGAGGGATGAGTCGCGCTCTGTCTGAGTGCCCTGGCCGCTGCCACGGCTGGGGCATGGGCGGGACCAAAGCCTGCCCGGGAGTAAGGTTGCTTCTTCCCTCCTCCTTGTCACAGTGCCCCTGAAGAGCGTCAGATTTCAGAGAATCCGAGCGAGGCAGAACTGGAGCAGGGGAAGTGAGGTCAGAAAACAGGTTTCCGAGAGCTGTGGCATGAGCAAGTGAAAAGGGAGCCACTGGGTAACCTGTGCCCTAGTGACAGCGGCAGGAGCCCGCGGGGCCTGACAGCGACGATAGGCACGGGCAGACAGGGCGAGGGCCGGGCACAGAATGTCAGTGAGGCTGACGCCCGGGAAAGGCAGCGACCTGGAGGCCGCGTCCACGCTCCTCCCCGCCCCCATGGGTGACCGAGCCCCCACCCGCCGCCCCGGGAAGCCAGGCGTCCTTCCCTCCAGCCGCGGCTTCCTCCGACCTGGCCCCACTCACCCCCGGTCGGCTTGGCCCGCGGACCGGTGCCTCCCTCCCGGGCGCCGCCTGCCCCTCCCCTCCGCCCTCGCTCGCGTTTCGGAGCCGGCGGCCGGCGGAGC